GAATGCCTGCATCATCAAAGAAGGGTGAGCATCGGACAGTCCGCGGATTTGTGTGGTGAAGCGGTTCACAAAGTGAGAAAGGGGCTCATCCTCCCTCTGGTTGAGCCCAAGGAGCATTGCCACCGACGGCTTCGGTTTGGCATGAGCCAGGAAGTTAAGCTCGAAGTCCTTAGCCAGCTGGTCGAAAGAGGCGATGGTCGCGGTCTTCAGATTGCTGTACCATGCCCGAGCTGGGCCCCGCAGGGTCGTCGGGAACGCCCGGCACATCAGGGCGTCGGACGTCCCGTATAGCGCCATTTGGGCGCGAAAAGCAGCCACGTGGTCCGCGGGATCGGTGGCACCGTCATAGGCATCTAATGACGGGAGTCGAAAATGCGGCGGGATTGCTTGCTCTTGAATCTCGGGGGTGAAGGGGGACCCCTGGTGTTGTTCGGCCCCCGGGTCTCCCCTGGTCTGGCGGACCTCACGTTGCACCTCGTCCAGCCGGCGGCCCACGAGGCGTAGCTGGGCCCACAGGCCCTCCGTCGAGTCTGAAAGTGGGGCTGCGGGCGTCGGGCGCGCCGTTGGATCCTCCGCTCCTCGGCTCCCGAGCTGAGTCGATCGGCCTAGAGGCGAAGCGGGAGACTCGGGGAGTGGTGTGGGGTTTTGGGTGGCGGACCGTTGCCGTGGAGGAGGTAGAGTTGAATGTGAAGACGTCGGGGGAGAGACCAGCGGGATGATGGTCTGCATCACTCCCGCAAGAGCCCGGACCTGGTGCGTGAGATCGTGGAAGGCTTCGGGCGGTACGGGCGACGGGCCGCCGGGATTTGCGACGGGCGGCGATAGACCCGGGTCGTTGAACAATCGCCAGTAGCGCTCCGAGATCGCAGCGGGGCGCTCGTCTCGGACCCCTCCCTGTTGGGGATGCTCATCCATTGCGTCGGTCGTGTGCGACCGGATGGTCGGGGGTTCGTCGGAGTGTGCCTGTTGATCGCCTGTTATTCGGACCGGCCCTCCTTCTAGCGCCATTATGTTAGTGTAAACACCTTTTTTTCTTAGCCGTGACCCGAGAGGTCGTCTCGGCTCGTTCGGGGGTCCGAATAGCGGGGATCTCCCTGGGGCGATGCGCGCTTCCACCGGGGCGGTCGGGGCGGCCTCGGGCTCGGGGCGATGCAGCGACTTCCTCCGGGTGGGGATCCCTTGGCTGTGCGTCCCGGACGGGAGTCCTCGGCTTGATACCTGCACAAAGGTCGGGTCGGCTTGACCCGACCCCTCCGACGATTAAGTTAGAGAGATGCGGTGGCGGTTGTCGGGAGTGGGGTTTACCATTTTTTGCCATATCAGTACCGATGAAATTAGATGATGTGCAATTTTGTCACCCCTAATTGCCCAAACATTTAGATTGGGTTCGAGAGGACACTATTCTTGCATCTTGCAACTCAAGTCAAAATAGATCCATCAGGATGTTCTAAAATGTAGTTTGAGCCCACTGGCTGACTTCCAAAATGACAAGTGACTGAACATTGTGTAGCTTCAGTTCAAAGTTGCCTGTGAAATCCCTCAGGCTTTCCTTTGTAACAGCTCTGAAAAGGATGGATATTAATTATATTGGACTAGTGGTTAGTTTTTTATTAGGTAAGATTTTATATAGCAAAAATATTTATTAGCTAATTTAATTGATAAAACTTCAATTTAATCTCAGACTTTCTTTCTTTTCGAGGTGTAATTAAAGAGAGGATAAGAAAAAAGAAAAGAAAAAGAGAAGATGGAATGATTCGATTAATCAGTTTAACATAAAAGTGAAAGTAATATCAAAAGTATATTTATTTATTTATTTATTTAAGAAAAAAATTCATTTGTAATTTTCCAACGGAAGGATGTCATATGAATTAAAATTCATTTGCAATTTAACCTTGATTCCCGAGTTTGGACCAGCCAATGAAGGCTGCAATGAAGATCTCAGCGACTGGAAAGACGACTTCGATCGGATAGGATACCAGAAAGCAATTTGCGAGCTCACGTCGTAGGCCAGAGAAAGCGACGCTTGAACTGCAATCTTCCGTCTGTCCGCAGCAACAACTGCGGTGCCTCCGCCACCCTACTTTAGCCTGAAGCCAAAGGGAGATCGGAGGAGGAGGAGGAGGAGGAGGCGGAGGCCATCGCCATGCCTTCTTTGATCTGTCGGTAGATCTGCGAGATCTTCGGCCTCATTCCCATCTCCGCTAAGCAGGCAGTTCCGTCCGATTCGTACCCAATCGGACCGAGTCAAATGCTGGTCCAAGACCGGTCCGGCCCTAAGCCTCCCAAGCCCCTTTCCTCGCCGCTTCCCGCTTCCGACCGTGACCACCATCGCCGCCGCCTCGTGCCTGCCAAAAGCCTCGACTTCTCCGCCTGGGCGTCCGACAACCTCTACAAGATCCTTGCCGTCTGCTTCCTCGTCGCCACCGTCGCCGCCATTTTCTTCCTCAGAAGCGCCGGCGACACCGCCGCCCTCCTCTGCTTAGAGAAGACCACCCGTTCCGCTTCGTCCGCCGCTTCCCGGATCATCTATCCCCAGATATCGTGGAACTCCGTTCCCCCGATCAAGCCCCTCGATCCCTCCGCCTCGCCCTATGCCTCCTTCCGCTCCGACCGGTGGATCATCGTCTCCGTGTCCGCCTACCCGACCGGCTCCCTCCGCGCCCTCGCCAGGATCAAGGGCTGGCAGCTCCTCGCCGTGGGCAACTCCGTCACTCCGCCCGACTGGTCCCTCAAAGGCGCCATCTTCCTCTCCCTGGATCAGCAGGCCAGACTTGGCTTCCGCACCGTTGACTATCTCCCTTACAACTCTCACGTCCGCAAGTCTGTCGGCTACCTCTTCGCCATCCAACACGGCGCCAAAGTGATCTTCGATGCGGATGACCGCGCCGAGGTCCTGGGCGGCGACCTCGGCAAACACTTCGATCTGGACCTTGTGGGCGAGGCTGCTGCTGCCGCCCCGAAGCACCCTATCCTCCTACAGTACAGCCATGCAGAACCCAATCGGACGGTGGTGAACCCTTACGTCCACTTCGGGCAGAGGTCCGTGTGGCCAAGGGGGCTGCCGCTGGAAAATGTCGGCGACGTCGGGCACGAGGAGTTCTACACCGAGGTGTACAGTGGCCGGCAGTTCATCCAGCAGGGCCTCTCCGATGGTCTCCCCGACGTGGATTCCGTTTTCTACTTCACCCGCAAGTCCTCGGACTTTGAGTCGTTCGACATCCGTTTCGACGAGGACGCCCCCAAGCTTGCGCTGCCCCAGGGCCTCATGGTGCCTGTCAACTCGTTCAACACCATCTTCCACGCACAAGCATTCTGGGGCCTCATGCTCCCCGTCTCTGTGAGCTCGATGGCTTCGGATGTGCTCAGGGGCTATTGGGCGCAGAGGATGCTGTGGGAGATCGGCGGATTCGTGGCCGTCTATCCGCCGACCATCCACCGGGTGGACAAGGCACAGTCGTATCCTTTCGTGGAAGAGAAAGACCTCCATGTGAATGTTGGCCGTCTCATCAAGTTTTTGGTATCCTGGAGATCGAGCAAACAAACACTGTTCGAGAGGATTTTGCATTTGAGCTATGTGATGGCAGAGGAAGGATTTTGGACAGAGCAGGATGTACAGTTCACGGCTGCATGGCTACAGGACTTGCTCGCCGTTGGATACCAGCAGCCAAGGCTGATGTCCTTGGAGTTGGACCGACCTCGAGCAAATATTGGGCATGGAGATACAAGGGAGTTCATTCCCAAGAAGCTACCATCTGTGCACCTTGGGGTTGATGAGGTCGGGACAGTAAACTACGAGATTGGGAACCTTATAAGGTGGAGAAAGCACTTGGGAAACATTGTTCTTATCGTGTATTGCAGTGCGCCTGTGGATCGTACTGCTCTAGAGTGGAGATTGCTCTATGGTAGGATATTCAAAACAGTGATAATTCTATCAGAACAGAGCAACCCAGATCTTGCTGTGGAATATGGTCAGTTAGCTGAAGCGTACAAGTGAGTTCTACTTCTACCATACTAATTTTATCTTATTTTTAGTATTAAACATAAAATGTTAAACAGCAACATAGCTAGTTACCTTCATCTTACTAGCACTTTCTCAATTTGAATGAGCAACAATTTGAGCTCGATGTCTTTTCTTTTTTGCTTTTAAAATTATAGATCATGGCTGCAAATTCCTCCATCCTTTTATGCTTGTCACTTGTTTATGATTTTGTCAGCTAATGTGTCATTCGAATTAGTAGCATCTTTATCATGTTACTTATCAAGACTTATTAAGAACTTGACATGGATCCACCTCCAACTCTAACATGACAATCCTTCTGGTGAAAATTGTTGCTAATAAGGTATAATGTATAATTTAACTTGTAAGTCTACCTTTACAAGTATTCCAACTGTATATTGGTAGTATATGTAGCATGTAGTCACTCCAATACATTTAGAAATTTCTTAGGCATGTGTTGTGACATATGGTATACAATTAGTCTTAAAAACATATTTTGATTAGGTTATTGAGCCAAAAGAAAAACAACTAAAATTTAGGATTTTGATTATACTTAATCGGCCCAGAACTTGTTCTGTTGGTCAAGAAAAACAACTAAAATTTAGGATTTTTGTACCATGCTGGTCTGGCCATCAATTAGTATTGGTGCTGGTCCGGGATTTTGGTCCTTGCTTGGAGATGACATGCAATTGTAATACTCTTTATAGCATAGGTAAGTCTTCATAAAAATGGCAGATCATTAACCAATGGTTTAAACCAGCTTCATATGATAATTCTAGCCAAGAATAGTTTGTCTTGCAACTTCATAGTGTTCTTCTTAACTATTTTCTTGGAATATATGATTAGAGCTTCTGTTCTTTTGGTTGGTTTATAAGAATCCTTTATCACTGTGTGACAATCATAGCATGATATCATGGCATCTTATAATTTCCCATGTGCAACTGTGGAATACACTCGGTCATCTTTCTATTCATTTTTACATTACAGAATTATCTTAGGTAATTGGTTTTTGGAAATTCCTATGCCATCAGAATAACATGGGGCCTTGGTAGTACATAAATACATCAGCAACGCCATAGCATCATACATGTATTTTTGCACTGAAATGCCCCATTATCTTAGACTTCTGGCAAACATTTTCTTTGGTATTCTTCTTAACCTTAAACAAGATTACTTGTTGTGATATCTTGAAATAATAATCTATTATGTAAGCCAAAAGTCTGGTCCTGTAAACTTATCTATTGTGGTGCTTGGTTTATATTGATGGTTTTCTTCTTCTCTTGTAAAGTTTTTCCCTTTCTCCTTTCTTTGGTGTCTTGATCCGTACTGTGTGATTATCAAATAGGTACTTGCCCAAGGTGTTTAAAAAATTCCAAGATGCAGAAGGATTTCTCTTCCTTCAAGATGGCATGGCTCTTAACTATTGGAACCTGCTTCAAGCTGACAAGACAAAGCTTTGGATAACAAACAAGGTAATGATCTCTTTCAATTTGTTTCCCTTTGTTTGTTATGTTCTCAAGGGATGACATATCAACTGGACTTGCGTATGCTACCTTCAGGTCCCTGAGTCATGGGTATTGGTTTCTACCGAAGGAAATGTCTCAGAATGGCATCTAAATCAAGGAAATTTAGTCAAGAAAATTGTCGACAACTTCCCAGTTCATTTTCAGACAAGTTACAAAGAAAGTACCACTGATGGAAGGCTCGTCATCTGCAGTAGCGAGATATTCTATGTTCCTCAAAGACTCGTTACAGATTTCGTCGATCTTGTGGGAATCGTTGGAGATCTACAAATTCATCACAAAATTGCTGTCCCAATGTTTTTTCTGGCAATGGATGCACTGGAGAATCTTGACTCAAGTGCTCTTGCGACGGTTGTTTACAGAACAAACCTGATGGCTAATGATTCGATCACGAGCTATTATACTGCTCAGGTTCCTGCTGTTTATCCACTGAAGGTGCAGACTGAGAATGATTTCGTAAAACTAGTAAGACTCATGGCTTCAGGTGACCCCCTTTTGCTAGAGCTGGTATGACCTATGGATAAATCATCTGGGGGTGGTTGGAGGATGGCTAAAGAGAACAGTGCTGCTTCTGTATGTTGTTCTTCCCTTTTTCTTTTCTTTTTTCCTTTTTTTCTTCTGTGTTGTAATATTAATTTACGGACAACTTACTGCTCCTTTCAGTAACTCAATTTCTGAATCCACGGTGAAGAATCTTGTGGACTACAAGAGAGAGAGATATATATATATGATGAAACTGCTCGCTTCACATGAACTCCGATAACAATTTAGATCATGAAACGTATTTGGCACCTTCTACAATAACAGCTCACTTTTTTTTGCCAGTGCTTTGTAAAATTCCTATCATATTCCTGATGGTGCTTTCTTGACTGAATTGTGTTTCTGTGGTCAACCCCATCTCGGGGGGAAAACCTCTGTGGTCAACATGATCAGGATATTTCTAAACACGTTTCAAATATATATATTTGATTTGATGGTTTCAAACTGAACTGGAATCAGGTTCTGATGACTGAATTCCGAACCGATTGTACAGAGAAAAAAAATTAAAACACAAACCCAAGTCTAATTACTTGGGTTTGAATTTTAATGAAATGATTTAATTTTTTAATTAATCGGAAATGATAATTTTGAAATCAATTGAAACTTCGTATCGTATCGGAGTTTCGAGATTCTTTTGATATAGTACTAAGTTGTACATTTCGATATACCGTTATATATAGATCGAGGTTCTCTTCTTCTTTCTTCTCTTTCGGTTAATACCACCTGGTAACGAGTGATGACGATTGAATTAAGATGATAACGGGGCAAAAACAATACTAATTAATGATACTGTCCAATAACGAGTGGTTTGCATATCAATATGCTGATGGATCGATATTGACGATATGTACCACCGGCTATGGGCGGTATTATTCGAAACTAAAATCCTTATCCGAAACCAAAACCGACTAAAACCGATTTGATTTTGCTTCCAAATTTGGTCGAATCAGAGTCGCCGATTCTGAAACTAGGATCAAGTTTATTTGAAAGCAATCAAAATTAGCAACAGATCCAATTAAAGAAAAATGTAGGCTAAACCTTACTTAAACTTGTAAATACGACACCACTCAAGCTTAAAAACAAGAGTCAGCCTTATACATATTAAGCTAAATCAGGCTACACACGTTAGACTCGACGCCTCCTCATCTTAAAGCTTTAGATTCCAACAAAGAAGAAAAATAAATTAATGATCAGTGATACGGAATTTAGTTTGGTTCAAACTACATTGCTAAAACTGTTGAAATAACAACATAATATTCGTTCTCATAAAAACCAACTTGATGCTCGAAACTAAATCCAAAAACAGTGATGTGCCATTGTGGTCGTCTGATCTTATAATCCCTATTTGTTCAAACTACTTTGCTTAGACTGTCGAAATAACAACATAATATTCATTCTCATAAAAACCAAATTGATGCTCAAACCTAAATCCGAAAACAGTGATATGCCATTGTGGCGTCTGATCTTATAATCCCTATTCACATCTCATTCACTTGCCTCACTAACAAGAAACATGTAAATCATCCATAAACTGTCATCTATTGATGCGGTAGAATGGCATATATATACATTCATTTTTTCTCAGGAAGAATCAAATCATTAACAATAAGTACAGGAACCTAACAATTGAATCACTTACCATATCAGCTCATGATGGAGACACCTTTAGCAATAGCCTCATTTACTGTTCATAATCCAGATCATTGAAAATTCATGGCTGGAATGAGTGAATTAACTTGACAGCCATACTGATGCAATAGAAATACCACCTGATACAGCTTACAATGCAATGGACATCCTTCATTATATTTTGTTAATTGTGATAATCAAGATAGACCATGCTGCAAATGAATGGCAGTAACAAATTGCCAACCAGGAATTCATGTGTAGCACAATTACTTCAAGGCAAGATAATGACCGTAAAATTAAACAAACAAAATAGAGATTAAAAGAGAAGATAAATTCATAAGCATACTCGGTAAGCACAACCCAAAATGAATAACAAGGACTAACTGCTGGATTCATACAGTAATATATAAACTTTTCCATGTATTTTTGACGTAGCATGTTCAAACTCATGCCTACAAAGAACCTGCAGCAAGAAAACTAGATAATGCAATGGTAAGATGCACAAAGAAAATGCAAAATCCAGATTAACACTAGAAACATACTCCATCCAAGAATTACAGATGTCATTTTATGAGGCAACCTTCAGGATCACTTGTGTGACAACAAAATGGTGTACTCAAACCTGAGTCTCCAATTCATGCTGGAGATTAGATAAACATCGGCTAGTTTCAGCCATGTGCTGGCCGGCCTTGGTAAAATAAATAGATGGCCCACCTTGTGACTCAGCATGGCAGCTAGGACACGGGCTAATTATATATTATCCTTTATAATTAACTACCTTTAGCATCTCGGTCCCTACACTCTCAAAAGTTATATTGGAATATCTATACTTACGAAAATGAAATATTTAATCCCGTTTCTCCTCACGCCGTCGACTCAACTGACGAAAATATCACAAGTACTTAGTGGTAAACCTTGCAGTATTTTTGTCAGCAAAGTCGATGGAGTGAAGAGAAACGGGGTTAAATGTTTCACTTTCATAAGTATAGGGATCCCAATATAACTTTTGAAAATATAAGGACTAGAATGTTGAAGACAACTAATTACAAGGGAGAATTCGTAATTAGCCCCTAGGACACTTGCAACAAGTGCTTGCCACTATGGTGTCCTTGGATGGGCATGTGGCACCCAACTCAGTGCTTGTAGAGACCTAGTTTAAACTGGACTCGAGAGACAATGACCTATGACCCAGACATCTTGTTTAAGATTGAACCGAAAAATAATTAGGATTCATTAGGCAAACATGGTCTGATCCTATGGTGCAGAGGATTTCATATGGAATGAACCCTAGTTGTAGTATGAGTGCTCAAAACTGGTCTGAAACCTTCATGACACATGCAAAGGAAGAAGTCCTGTTAGGCATCAAAGTCATACAAAGGCCAAAGGCAGCAACTGGACTTGGTTTTATATTAAGTAGATTGGCTCAAGTTAGAGATTGGCAAGCCTCCAACCCACCAAAGAAAAGAGCAACCAGATTTGTGGTGATTGGCAACCACTTTCATAAATATATATATATATATATGATTCACCTAGCCCTGTGGCTCACTTGTCATGGTCACAAGAAGAAAATAAAGAACAGAACAGGTCTTGAAAGGGCCAAAAAAACTATGCTTCAGCAGCAGCAGTGAATGGAGGAATTAGGTGATTGATTCCAGTCCTTAACAGCAAAATGTCTAGTTAGAAGACCTATTTTAACAAGTTACGGCTATTGATATGATAAAATATTTCAGGAAATTAATGTAACCTTTGTTAAGTAGGTATCAAGGCACCAGTAACCTATAAATATGAACACCGTAAACCAAAGAGGCATATTGGATGATTGTTATATTTCTTTATACACCAGATATCTAGTTCAATTAGCTTAATTTCTCTCTCTCAAAGTGGATCAAATCATATCATGCCATCAATAGAAACTATCAATCTGTTTACTAAATGATAAAAAAGGTTCATAAACAAACAAAGATCACTCTAAGTACCAAATCAAGAAATTAAAAAGAACAACCTTGAGAATTCTAAAGGTTTCGATGTAACTATGAGCCATTGGAATCATATGGTCATAGAAGCCTGGAAGGTAAGTCTGGCATGTATATAGATCATGAGCACAGAGAGAAAAGCAATGCTAAATTCAAGTCAAATTAAAATGAGTTAATTCCATGTACTTAAAGAAGAAACCAAAAGAAATATTTCCACTTCTACTCAAGAAATGCATGAATTAGCTACAGCCAACAAGAATGATAGTTATAGGTAACATAACTAGCCAAATTATAAACAACTACAAAAGAAGTTTCCATTATGAAATTATATCATGCATAATAAACTAAATTAGCAAGTTCTGCAGAAGGGAAAGCCACCAAGTACAATACACATACAAAAGAATAATTCCTACTCTATGCAACAATAGACAAGTTACAACAGAAATAATAATTTGTTTCACCCTAGAAAAAGAAAACTGTTCATTTGACAATGGCATAAATAAACCATAACAAACCCAAGTGGTGGTCATAGGAGATCTCTGCTTCAATCATGAGCCTTCTCATTAATAGTATCAATCTCATTAAATCTCGAAAATGATTTCAATGGCTCCTTTGTCAAAGATCCATTCCTCCTCAATTGCAAAATTGCATCACTGCCATGGAAATCATGAATGACTCGCAGAGTCCTTGCCCTGCTGATAGTAGGACTATTGTTACTAGTCACACCAGCTGCCAACGTTTTAATTAGCTCTCGATCAGGCTGAGCCATGAGATCCAATAGATTTGTACTTCCCCTTGTGTCCTCCAAGAGCACCCTCCTTGCGTTCCTCGAAGAACGAGTTTCCTTTATAATCAAAGGGGGCTTCTTCACATTAACAGCCATGTCTCGATCCTTGTCAAGTGGCTCATCCTCTCGATGAAACCTTGAATCTGAAGCTGGACTCCGGCCCCGATCGATACTAGTAGAATTCAGCTTCGTCAAGGGCCTCTCCACGTCAACCACCGAGCATGGGTTTCCGACCGAGAGCCCATTCCAAGCTCTCGACAGCACTGTCTTGCTCAACACATTGAGTTGCTCCACGACCTCCTCCATGGATGGCCGCATTTCCTTGTATGACCGCACGCAGCTGGCAGCCAGTGCCGCAAGCTGCCTCCTCGCCACTGGGTCCTTGGGCGGCCCAATCCTTGGATCAAAAAGCGTTGAGACCTTCCCCTTTCTCAACAAGGGGACGGCCCACTCCACGACCGACGGCGGGGAGTGGGCAACATCGATTGCCTTCCGGCCGCTCATGATCTCCAGAAGTAAGATCCCGAAGCTAAATACGTCCGTCTTGGTGCTCAGGTTCTCAGGCGTGACATAAGAGGGGTCGAGGTAGCCGAGCGTGCCTGCGGGAGGCGTGGAGCGGGCGGAGGGGAATTTGGTATCCTCATCGTCGCGGAGGGCGAGACCGAAGTCCCCCAGCCGAGCGTTGAAGCTATGATCGAGCAGTATATTTGCCGACTTGACGTCGCGGTGGATGACGGGCGGCTGCACGGAGTGGAGGGTGAGAAGGGCTTTGGCAGTCTGGAGGGCAAGACGGATGCGGCGAGCCCATCCGGGCGGGCGTGGATTGGAGTGGAGGAGGTCGTAGAGCGTGCCGTTGGGCATGAACTCCACCACCAGAAGCCGCTCTTTCCGATCGGAGGCGGAGGGGGTGAAGCCGATGAGGTTGACGAGGCGGGGGCTGCGGATGCCGGCGAGGATCTCGATCTCGTTCTCGACCTCGTCGCGAGCAGTGGCCGCGGCGACGGAAGCCGCCGGCAAGGGGGAGCAGAGATGGTGGGGACGGCGGGAGGGGCGCTTGACCGCGACCTGGCGCCCACCGCGGAGGACCGCCTTGTAGACGGCGCCATGGCTGCCGCGGCCGAGGAGGACGTCGTCAGAGAAGTTGCCCGTGGCCGACTCGAGCTCTCGGTAGGTGAAGTGGCGGATACCGGGGTGGTGGGCGAAGTCGCCGGCTTCTTCTTTCGGTGCCGACAAATTTGTGAGGTTGTTGGTGCTGTGCTTCTTCTTTCGGAGGGGCTTGTGGGAGCTTACGTCGGAGGAGGAGATAGAGCGGCAGGTGGCGACGGAGGAGTCAGCACGGCACGAGAGGTAACCCATCATCGAGATGGAAGACGAGGAACCGGATGGGGCTTTAGACGGCCGTGACGGATGAGCAATACAGCAACAGGAAAGCAGAGGCCAAAACAATTTAGCTAAGGAAGGCAAAAAATGGGAGAATAAAATTATATATATATATATACGCTACAAAACCTATAATTCTAATTCGCACTTTGTAATTATCGCTAATACAGGTTTAATGATTCATTATTCCTTAGTTAATGAGGATGTCGATGACAAATAACTGGGCGCCAGCTGTCCCACATTGGTTTCTAGTGTATGTTCTTTTATTGATGGACAAGAATCTTTATTGTTATTATGAAGAGGAACACATTGTTTTCTGATGAATATTTTCCCAGATAATAATATTTTTATTAAGAAATAGAAATCAGAGAAAAGTGTTTTGGTAATTTGAATTCCACTTTCTCTGAGAATTAGTTCGAAGCAATTTACTAAATATTTTTAACCTGAAAAAGTACTTTTACCTAAAGTCTTTGGAGGCATATTTGCCGAGATCATGAATGGCATTTGCTTGCTGACCCTTTCAATAGTTCACTTTTCAGTGTAATAGACTTTCCCATATGGAGAATTTTTTTTGTAAAATGTATTAAAATGTTGATCACATTATGTTATGACAAACTTATGTGAAGTGTTTTTTGAATTTTGTATTTGAAGTTGGCTATGCTTAAATATTAATTTTTTTTATATAAATGCTATTGTTGATAAATGAATCTGATAGTCTTTTGTTAAATTATTGTGATGTATCCCAGCGGTTGTAAAGTATAATCATAGATAAATCATCTTATATGTTATATAATTTATTATTGTGGTTGTCATCCATGCCATAAAATATAATTATATTTTATTTAGAAAATATTATTATAATTATTTTATATTTATTACTGTGATTGTTTATGCAGGATAAGTATGATTTATTACTGTGGTTAGCATTATTGATTGTTGGGTTAAATAATTTAGAGCTAATTATATATTATCCCTTAGTTAATTACCTTTACTATATTGATCTCTATACTTTAAAAAATTATATTAGCATCTCTATAGTTATAGATGACAACCCCATTAGAGGGCCACAAGTAACTATTGTGGATGAGAAGAATGTCAATGAGAGATGAGGATCGCTCTACATTTGTGTTTGGGTCGATACAATTGTCGAATTGCGAAAGGACCACTGATGTAGATATCGAGCAGTATCGCTCGATAACTATGTTGACGCTAACAATGATACAAATCGATGCCACTTGATAATTGCATCGATATCGATGCAGATGCAAGGTAGCCTCACCTATCTCTCTTTATCCACAACAATCACTCGCGGCCCCCAACAGCATCGTTCGCCACCACCAACTGAAACATTAAATTTTTTTTTTAAATTTTTTTAGTTTCATATTTTCATTAGTAAAACCGACGACATTAGGATAAATAAATCTACACATTTCACTAGAGATGTCGATAAAATTTTCTAAAGTCTAAGGTAACTAACTAAGCGAATAATATTTAATTAGTCCAACAATTTATTATTATGGTTGAGTTACACAGTAATAAGTAAATATTTACTTAAAATTGTAAAATCATCTTTTCACGGTGGCACCTATTGCCATTCTTCCTCACGCAATGGTTCTTAGTAATATATAGGTAAGAACCACAAGAAAAAAAATTATTTTACTGTAGTGTTTCTTCAAATCATTTGAGGATGCTTGAAGAACTCAACAAATTAGAACATGTATAGGGGATGGAAGAGGTATAAGAAAATTTATTGGAATCAAAGAAAGAGATGGAAGAAGAGTGTAATAGAAAGAATAAATGATGGTTATGGTAAATATATTTTATACTCGTATGTTTGTCTTTCCCTTCTTATAAAATCGTCGCATATAAGATAATTATAATTATGGTTTTTAAAAAATATAGTTAAAACTTGAAGTTAAAATGATATTTTTAAAATACAATAATTATTGCTTTTTTAAATTACAGTTACTTAAAAAATACTACAAGATTATTATTATTCAATGTAGCATGATAGTAATTGAATAAACTTGGCCAACGATTTTGGCTCCGACCAACATCGACGATGGAATTCTTTATAATTATAATCATGGCAGAGATATAAACTAGTGCATGCATTAATAGAAAAAGAGCTCTCATGTTGATTTGGATGATGATATGGCCTTTAATAATCCTAATTATATAAATATCAATTTAATTCTCAAGTGTTGGGAGGCAAAACTAGTAACATCCTACTCAACTCAATATAGTTCGGATCCACAATTGCAAGGAGAAAGAGATGTCATTGATGTGTCTAAAATTTTTTCGAGATTCAAGATGAAAGCGCTGGTATGTCCCGAGATAATATGTAAAAAATCATGACTGTATATGAGTTTCTCGATTCGATCTTTATGACGCTCAAGTTAGTCTTAAGGTGATGGATCTAAATAGTAAAAAATATATGGTATCGACTGTTATATTGAAAATAACTTTTATACTGAATAAAAAGGTTAAATATTTTATAAAATATTTTTATAGGGGATAATCTGTAATCATTCATTTTGAAATAGGATATATAGCTCACGTAAGTTTTATCCTCCCGATGTCAATTAAGTGTTCTGAAAGTATTCTGAAAGTTTTATCCTCCCTTTTGAAATTATATATATATATATATATATTTATTGATAATTTTTTTCTCTAAGTGTTCTGAAAGAAAACCCACTTACTAATTTACTACTTCACCAGTTTTATTAAACCACCTGATACACTCAAAACAGCCCTTTTATGCATGAGTGTTAACCTAAAACAAGATATATTCCAAAGTGTTTAATGTGATCATAATGACCAAAACATTACCTAATACAGTTGCCTAAAACAAAAAAGGTATCCGAGGCACCACTTAATCACTTTCTAAATTAGGAAACAACGGTTATAGTCTCAAGACAGATATTACACTATAAAACAAACAAAACCTTTAGCTTGAAACACAATAAGGACAGATGATTAAGATTTATTTTAAATATATAGATCTAAAATTAAGATTAAATGAGAAAAATAAATATTTTGTTATCGTTTATTTCAAAATATGCTAATATATTCCTAATCTTCATTTAAAACAACTCACACTTTAATATAGTAAAGTCAATAATTAAGGTTGGTGGGGATTTTAAACCAATTAAAATTCAATTATAATATTTTTATTGCTTATAGTGTTTCGATTCATTGACTAGATGAACCCAAATACATGTATCTTTCCGTGTGCATTTTTGACTCAGTCTTACATTCTTCAACTCTCTCACTTTCTCAATAATATTAGATTAAATAATCATCATCGATACGAATTTATTATATTAAGATTTTTTATAAGAATTTTTGTCCTTCTTTATTTTTAAATGTGTCAAACCTTCACAATACTCATCCACTCAAATCCCCACATAAATTATCGTATAAAACCTATAATCTACAATAAAAATTGATAATTAAGTGTGGTTAGATTCCAAACTAATGAAACCTCGAGTTTTCTTTTTTGATCATTCTGGGAAAATAAAAAAAAATTTAATCGGAGAAAAACAAAAGATTTGAGGTTCTTTTTCTTCCCAAGACAAATCACAAACGACATTTGCTTGCAATCCCCACCACCCAAGTCCGAAGGCAGCCCTGCGGTGCCCACCGCTTCTTGTCCACGGAGCCGCACCCGCGCTCGACCTTTCAGCGATGGGAGGCGTCCCGAATCTGACCGGCCTTTGCTTTTAGCATTCCAACGCGGCAATTCCACGTCGCATTAAGCCCGACGTGACGGTGGCGAATTCTCTTCCTCCTCGCCGACGAACCGACAATCCACACGTGTCTCCTGAAGTGCCGTCACCCACGTGCTTTTATGCCGTGTCGCTGTCACGCTCCTTCAGCGCCTGTTCGCTGCTCCGACAAGAAACTTCCGATCCGCGCAACACCGCACCGCGACAGAAGGGGGCGTCGTCTTCAGACTTTTTACCGTCGCCATCGGACCGAGATAAAAGTGCGTTCGAGGAGACCGGGGTGGACAGTTCTCCCTCGCCCTCCCCCTCCGCCTCCCTCCCTCTCGACCCAATTCCCAGATCGGCGATGTCTACATGCTATCGTCGGATCCTCAACACCTCGATCTCCCCACCATCCGATCTCTCTTTCCGGCGGCCACATCTCCGACCTGTGTCCGTCCGCTCTGCATCGAGCGATGGGATCACCCGCGCTCTCCGATCGACGAGCGTGTCGTGGACCCCAGAACCGGCCGTCGACCGTTCCCTTGGCGGCCGAGGGACGCACCGGGGGAAGGGATCTCCGGCGGTTATGTGCCTCAGCGCCATGGGGGAGATGATCGGCGAAGTGGAGGTGGAGGGGCGGCGGAGTAGGGCGGCGGAGGTGTTGGCGGCAGCGGCTGTCACGGTGGTCTTGGGGACCGGCAATCGAGTGCTCCAAAAGCTTGCGCTCGTACCGCTCAAGGAGTACCCGTTCTTCCTCGCCCAATTCACCACGTTCGGGTAGGCGAACCTTTCGCAATCTCCTCCCTTGATCTTGCTTTCACTCGGCGTTTTCGCCGTCGGGTTCGCTCGCTGTCAGTTATTTTGGGTTGGGAAGTGAGCGGTGGCAGTCGATGCGCGATTATTGTTCGCACGTGCCAATGATGGCCGGCCGAGTCGGGGGTAGCTGTCTCAGTTGCTTTCAGCATGTGGGCGTGACGTTGAGATTCGTGCAACGATCCCCTTTTGTTTTTTACGCTCGGTAGCCGCATACGGTCCTGGGGCCGATGAGGAGGGCAAATGGGTCGGGTGGTTCTGGTTCAGATACGTACTCTGTTGCTCGATGCAGGCTGTAGACACCATTGGAGATCCTAGCCCCAGGGCTCCTTCCCATGTAAGAGATGGGGCCTCAGTGAGTAAGGCACATATTAGTGTATTAGTGGAAATACTCTTCTTTGTTAACATCATCTTGTATATTAGTGGTATATATCACTATTGTTAAATTAACTTGGTTTGTTATATCCCTTAGTAGTATTAATATGTATAGTGGAACAGGCTTTGGAATTCTAGACTGGTACTGGTACTAAAATATTCTCGGACCAATGTTCAATTTGCTTTTGTACCCCAATAAAGAGTACAAAAAATTTCTTTCATGTAGTAGCACCCAGTAATACTTTTGGCACACTGGTCTATCAATTTGATATCAAACCAGTACACCATTGTCGAAACAGTCAAATTATGGTATTCTGAAATCATGTCTAGGAATCTACATGTCCCTGGTTAGATGTCATTTGACCTAAAATTCTTTATTTTTTTTCAGCTACTCTAGTTTACATAATGAGCTATATGTTGTTATTGATCAACCGATGAATCATCCTTTTGATCAGATACTTGGTGGTGTACTTTTCTATCCTTTGCATTCGTTATCATACTGGCATTGTCACCGATGAGATGCTGTCTCTACCGAAGACCCCATTTTTGGCTGTGGGACTTCTAGAGGCTTTGGCAGCAGCATCAGGAATGGCAGCAGGAGGTATGCTAGCATATGAGAATTACTACCTATTGCAGCTTATCTTGTCAAGCGATATATCTGTTAAACCTGTTACTGTGTGCATCATTAGAATTAGACAAGTACTTGGTGCTAGATATCAATTATTTTCTCTCTGATTTCTTGAAATACTTTCTCAGTATCTGCAGTTGTCAATTGACTTATAATGTCTTTGTAGTAGTTAGTATGGTGAGCATGTTACAGGATGGAAATTCACTTATATAGATTACTTATGAAATATTCCAATGAAATGAGGGACTGGAGTATCTTTGCAAAACTGAATGCTCTGATTCATACTCTTCATAAGTCCTGATTCTCAGGATCCTTCCTGTGATTCTAATTTGCATTAACATTTTTTAGTCTAATGGGCACCCAACAACAAAAGATGACTGAACTAGGCCCATGTGGTGCACACTCTAGAAAATTCACTATCTGATGGCTATTAGCATGCCAACTTATCCATAATGTCATCTCATCTTTTAATCAGATACAGGTTGGTTCTTTGCTTCCTGTACTTTTCTCTAGTAGAAAATTTTTGTTCAAGGGAGTATATTAACCTGACTATACTAAAAAGTATAATCTCTTTAGTTAAACATTGCACTTGTACAAACATCAGAATAAATTCATCTTACTAATTTCACAAACTGTATGAAACTATATATAAAAGTAAACGAAGGAGAAATTTACTATCATGAACACATGTCTCTGTGATCTTATATTCTTATGTACCTTTAATTTAGATAAGTCAAACAAGTGGTTGAATGCCTGAATTATACACATGATTTTTACAAATGTTATGCCAGAAATTTAAGCATTTTATGTTAAAGCATGTGATACAGCCAGTAACTTCAACATTGTACCTGCTCTATCATTCTATTATTTTTTGTGTACAATATACTAATATACTAATACCCTTATATTGATGTTACTATTTAGACTGCCTCTTTGTTTCTTACATAATAGGCTTCTCAGTCCTTATATTTTAGATATTATTACTAAATGGAATCTGCATACAAGGCATTGACTCATAGAGGCTACACTAATATATGTTGTTGGTTTGATTTTTGTTAGAGTAGCTGTTCTTTCTGGGGCATCGATTCCAGTACTATCTCAGGTAATAGAATTAACTGATATATTTATTTTCATGATGCATTGATAAAATAGTCCAAATCAAATAACATGTTGCAAATCTCGTTTTGCAGACATTTCTTGTTTGGCAGCTTCTTTTTTCAGTTATATTTCTTAAGAGGCGATATCGTTTCAACCAAATACTAGGGTGCTTGCTTGTGATGGTTGGAGTAGTAATCACTGTGACAAGGTATCTTTATCATATAAATATTAAAGACAATTGTTTTGATGTTTTATTTGAAATTAAATGAAGATTTACAATGCATGGACAAGGGCATGGGACGTAAACATGACAAGATATAAATATTATGACAAAAGAAATGGGTACAAGATGGCATAAAATATATTATAATTAATTATTAGTATGATTTCATATATGATTTGTATGATTGAATAGTATTTGATTGTCTTATGCTACTTGAGAGGAGCACAACAATCATTTTTACATACAAAAACACATGGAGATTAACGTATACATTGTATGTCCCTTTATGGCCTTAAAATGGAGGTCTAATGGTTGGGTTTGAGGTTGATTGGTGATTTTGGGATAGTAGTCTTCTATGCAAGTTTCATATATTTCTCTCTTGTGATTTGTGAAAGAACTGTGTTTGCAAGTTTCGAATTAAATAGACCGTATCTTCCAAGTCTTACTATGAATGACATCTTTCGTCAAGATTTCCAAATCAAATAGCTCATTCAAAAATCTTATGAAAGAAAGTAGAATACCTATCTTTAGGACTAAAAATTAAAGATGCTTATGAATTTAGATGAAAGATCTATGAAATAACATATTGATACGAGGTTTCGCTGCCGCATGACCGTTATCAAAAAGCTCAAAGTAGTTGCATGCAAAATGATAGAATTACACTAGTGTTCTAGGGACCTCCTGGGCTAGTTATATTGTTCTCACTCTAATGGTGCATTTGAGGATGATTATTAAAATCTCAGTATATGGTATAAAAATTACTACTATATTATAATGGTATCAAGATTATTCATCAAAACCATTTCATGTTTTCAAGCAGCTTGCTGAGGATTTTTATTATAATTGACTTGAATGAAGCTAGGTACAATTATATTGCCCATAAGTGATGATCAATATTATTTAATGAAATACATTTTGTTACAGGCCTCTGTATTTATATGTGATGATAATTCTAAAATAATTGTGGTACTAAAAAATCATGATTCATCTTTAGTCCTTCCATTTTGGTAGATTTTTTCTTTTCAATAGATAAGTCTTGTATTTAACAGTATAAGCCAACAAAATCTGATTGTTTTTTGCAGTGGGTCAGTTGCTGGCATGTCATTGAAAAATTCTGGAATATTTTGGTCGCTTCTCATGATAACATCATTTTTATTTCAAGCTGCTGACACCATTTTGAAGGTATCACATTTTCTGGTAGAATATCACAAACTAATCAATGAAAGAAGTGTATAATAATTTGGTATTTTTGTACATGCAGGAGATGATATTCTTGGATGCTGCTAAGAAACTAAAGGTACATTTACTGGGAACATTATATTTTATTTGCACTAAGATGACATTAATTCTGATCCAAAAGATATTCTAATTATTCTTTTAGTGTATTTTAATGGTAACTTCTTAATGGAAATGTTGATTCTTCATATGTCAGGGAGGTTCGGTTGATCTTTTTGTAGTGAACTCATTTGGATCTGCTTTTCAAGTAAGATTCAACTTTTGATTAATTTTTTTTCCCAAAGGTTATACACACATCTTATGACCATATGATGCAGGCACTGTTTATATGCCTTTTAATGCCGTTTTTGTCAAAGCTATGGGGCATTCATTTCAGTCAGTTGCCCTCATACATTAGGGATGGAACAGCCTGCTTCTTAAATATTGGTTCACTGTCAAAAGGTATATCAATTGCATTTTTCTGCTATTATGTCATGAAGCAGTTTCATTTTTCCCAGAATGCTTATAAACTCCTAGTCACGTAAACAGTAAAGCATAAATTTATTAAACTCTGTCTTATGCAATGTCTTGTGTCATAACTGGCTATAGTCAGCTCAAATGTTTGAGATACATAACTGGAATCAACTTGTGAACTTTTTATTGTTTGGTTCTTGTCTTTGCCAATAAAGATGCATGTAGACTTCTTAGATCTCGTTCTATCAAGAGTGTTGTTTGTATTATTTTTTCAAAGGACATGAGGTTGGGGCTGAAGAGTAATGATTGCGTCAATGTGACCATGTCCTGGTTAAAGCTTCATGCCAAGGTTTAGGATCTTGGTCCTGTGCCTAGATGGGGTTGGCAGCCAGATTGGTATTACACCAGTACAGATCGCTACCAGCAAGATAAAGGGAGAGAAGATGGGTGGAGGAGGAGGTGACGAAGAAGAAGATGAGGAGGAAGAGGCGTATTGGAGGAGGTGGCGACTCAGACTAGGGGGGAGGTGGCACCAATGCAGCAGGGTGTAGCGAGAGAATGCATGTGATAACATGGAGAAGAAGGGCAGCAAGAGGAGAGAGAGAATGCTTGAGAGAATTAAAAGGAGAGAGAGCACAGTGAGAGAGAGAGAAAGAAATAGAAAACAAAAAGGAAAAATAATTGACAATTGACAAATAAAAAATTGGTACAATAAGCTTACTGCCTAATATAGGTTGGCACCGGATTCCTTATTCTCCTGGATCCAATCACATTTCACTGTTCTAGACACACTTTCAAGAATTTCCATATTACCATTCCATGTCATTTGACATTCTATTACCCCCTTGAAGGTGCCATTCTGCCCTGGTTGTTTCAATTGTTAGAGTGTAGTGGTAGCCAAGTCCTGGAATCTCCTTCATCTTTCTTCTTTCATCCTGTTTTCATTTTTCTTGTTTCTTTTTTTCATTCCAGCATTCTTCTTTTACCATCTCTTTTATTTTTCCTCCAATTCCTAGTGGCTGTGTTTAGGTGGTAGTTGGAGGTGCTTTGGTGCTTGCATTAATTCGAACTATGATTATGTTTGTACTGCATTGCTTCTTCCTCTTCTCCTCCTGTTCCTTCCCTTTGCTTCAATAATCTTCTGTACTTTCATAATAGTTGCTGGTTTCCCTTTGTATTCTGCATATCTTTCTTAATTTTTTATGAATTCATGAAATATCATTATTTTTCTTGCATCTCTATGGTTGAAGTGAATAACCAATGATAATTTTCTTCAGCTAGACTCCTACAAGCTTTAGTTTCCTATTTGCATCAAAGTCAGCCTTCTAAATTTATTAATTTGCCTTAAATTCCTTCAATCTTTGTTCGTAGCCTTATTGGATATGTATTTATTCCTAAATTTTCTTTTCTAAAACCCTTGTAATAGGAAAAATATCATAATAAAAAATCAAGCACCCTAATTTTTAAACCTTGATTGTGGGTATAAATAATAAGGCAAATGTATATTGCCGGTTTCAAATAGGTAGATAATCAAATGCAAAAAATCAATGTGCATTTGTTTTCCAAAAAGGACACTCTTGGAAGAAGAACTAGCAAAGCATTAATATTCTATAGAAAAAAAACATGAGTTCCAGGCTGAAAGATTGAGAAGGTTAACTTTCAAACCAAGATAGATAGTATAGGGTGCATTGTTAACTATCAAGAGTCCTGTCAGAATGGTAGTTGCAATTCCAAGTATTCTGGGATATTAAAAATGGGTCTAAAAATGCTATTAGCTATTTATTACTTCAAGACATGCCTCCAAGAGTGGAGAATGCATATTATAACTTTTCATATAGGGTTCCAGCATTTTTCATTTTGATTGATTACATGTTGCCTTGGATTATATTTATATATATATACACACACACACATAAATATGTATATGTATTCATGTCTTATGTTAATTTTGTATGTACCATTATCCCATGATATTTTTCTTTCTACAGTACAAGCAAGGAAGAATTTATGTATGTACTGTCCATCTATCTCACTAGTGAACTGTGTTCAGTTAGTTAATTATTTTGACAATAACTCTTAGCTTATGACAGGATGTGAGGGTGCACCAATTTTACCAGTATTGTTTGTGATTGTTAACATGGCCTTTAACATATCATTGCTACATCTTCTGAAGATTTCTTCGGCAGTAGTCTCTTGTCTTGCATCCACTTTTGCAGGTTCATTTCTATCTTTCTTATCAATATTATATGTTTGCAGTTAGTCTATTAAAAGATTTCCTTAGTTTCATATCTAATGGTGTTCTTGTATCCCTTTTTGCTTTTAATGGTTGTCCTATAGAAAATCTCACATGAATAGCTGTTTCTTTAACAACATTTTACACTATTAGGTTGTGACTTGATGAAATTTAACTTCATTGTACATGTCCCACAAAGGAGTTGTATCCAGAGACCAGCAAAGTTCCAAGTCTAGTGCATAAATTTAGCATCTGCAAATTGAATACTGTCTCAACATAGATTTACCATCTACATAATGGCACATTTTATGAATGCTAAGCAGTCAAGTTTTCAAGACACTGCTTGTTTGATTAGCAAGAAATTAAGAAAGCATTTAAGTCAAGTGTACTTTCAGACATTGATTCATAAAAACAAGATGAGTTAAACGTATCTTTTCTATATCAAGTGGTAAAAGCTTTTATCTTCAAGGTATGATTAGTAAGCTCTTTTACATGCTCTGTAGAACTTAGTTTTACAAGAGTTTTAGTTTTAATAGTTCCATTCTAACTTCAATAATTTGTACCAAGGTTTTTAATTTCCAATGATACTGCTCGTACCGGGTGGTACGTACCGGTTCGTCAGCAGACCATTATGTAGACCGCCCGCTACTAGGCGGAACCATCGATTGGGGCTATTTCTGCCTTGTTACCATGCGAAATCGATTGGTGACGGTCGATTTCGACCGTTGCCGCCCGCTACAGGGCAGTATTAGCCGAGGGAGAAGGAAGAAGAGGGAGAACCTAGAGATTTGGCACTGCTCTCGCTCGACGATCCTGATTCGTCACCACCCTCTCTCGTCGGACACCGAAAATGAGATGTTGCCTCCTCATCTGAGGCGATGAGACCTCGGTGCCATTGGCGACTTCTCCTCATCCGCGCAAGGAGAAGAAACGAGGCGACGTTGCCTCGACGAGATCACCCTTTTTTATTTTTTAAACTTATTATTATTATTAGTATTAGTATTATTATTATTATATATACCAAGCAGTACGCCAGAGCATACTCGCTTGGTATACTCGTACTGTTCCGTACTGAGCTGAGCTTAATACTTCAGTATGGTACGAAATTGCGAACCTTGATTTGAACAAAAAACATCTAACTGAGAACATCAAGAAATAAAATTAAAATATCAAGTATGCCACCATGTATGCTACTTACATAATTCTCTATGTAAAACACAATTTAGATCATATGGACTTTGCAGAACCACCTACCACTATCAATTCCTCATGCTATGGATAAGATCCAACTATCGATCACTGGCAAGCAAAATATCCTCCTATGTTGCATCATTCATATTAAAAATTAGTCAAGAAAAACCAGGATATAATTTTTATGAACATAAACATTTATCATGTTTCAAAATGATATTGTTAAATTATGATATTCATATAAGAAAATGTTAAACTTGGATGCAGCTTTGAAGAATTTATGACACTGATGTCTCTAGCTGCTATTGTAGTCAAGAATTTGGTACTACAAAGTTAAAGGAAAAAATATTTGAAGAGAGTACACATGGGATTTAATAATTAATCTCAAACCCCATATGTTTCTTTTTCATGACATCTCTAGTTGAGATAAATACTAGTTTCTCTCCTTATCTATCCTTTTTGTTGTCTAGCATGATGTCACATTATTATGAACTTAGCTTATGCAAGTCAAGTCATGTGACATTCGTTCACTAACCTACATGGAAGAACTAGACATCCAACAAAAACTAGGGTAAGTAGCTTATTTATCCCAAGCTTGCAAGTTGAAAAGATTGACATGGGGCACCATGATTGCACTAAAAAAATGTAGGAATTTTGTTGGAATGTGGAAAATCATACAACCTAACCATGGCCATTAAAGTTAGAAATAGTGATAGGAGTGGATGATCTTACAACATAACTATGGTATGAAGGGGTTCCTATGTGACCAGGCAACTCAAAAACACTTTCATCACAAAATCTTGCAAAGGCACATGACACGGTATGAAACATATCATGACATGGCAACATATTCTTCTGATGACAACGTAAAATTTTGAAAAAGGATGAACCTAGTTCTTGAGGCTTATGCTAATGTGGGATATGGGAAGGTCAATGTACTAACCTTATAAGTTGGGTGCCAAAGATCAACATGGGCGCCTACTGCAGCTTGGTGCATCTAGAGGGAGCTAGCATTCAAACTATCCAGGATCATGACAATATTATAATTCTTTGGTTAAAAAAGGCCTCACCACCATGTAATGCATGAGATAAAAAATACATATTTTTTTTGTGAGGAAGTTGATTGTGTTTGCCGACCTCTTCCCTTTTTATGACTTTAAATTGCATGCTGGGGGAGCAGCTCTTGCCCAAGGGTAGGAAAGGAAACAGGGTTATACAGTGACCAATGGCCCATTAAATGGCATGACTTCAGCATGGATCTTGTATAGGGATTTCTTCAGGCACGTAGCACAAGTCTGTCTTAGCTGTGGTTGATAAGTTTTCAAAAATGGCTCATTTTAACCCTTTAGTGATATTGCCAATGCTTCCAGTGTGGTTAAGCTTTGTAAGGATACAGTTTGATCTGATGGGTTGCTCATCAACATTGTCACTTCCAGGGATGTAATGTTTATCCAGTTCTTTTATGAAATCACAGCATTGATGTTGAAGTCTCAAATTCATCCATATTATCCACAAATAGATGGACAAAAGCGAGTAATAATTAAGAGTCTATAGGATCTTCTTAATCATCTAGTTGATGATTGTATGACTAGTTGTATTTAAACTGGCTGAGTTTTCACATAATAGTTTTGTCTGTAGATGGTCTGTTTGAAATAGTCTTCAGCTACAATATTGATTTGGATGGTTATACGAATAATTATAGAAATTCTTGGCGAGGTCAACTAATTCTTTGCAAAGTGCCTTCACTGTAAGTGTTTAACTCGAGTTCATTTCGAACCAATTATAAGGCATTTTTCATAAAGCTTAGGGATGTATGAGAGCCTTGTGTTTGCAAGCTGCTCCACGCTCACACTAGCACAACCATACTGATGGTCCATCATGAAATCGGGACCTTGGTGCTAAGTAAGTATATTATCCATTTTGGTCGACCTTGTTTTAAGAAGCTTTCTTATTTCCTAACGCCAGAGGATTATTCTAATTCAATGATTACAGTTATGAACCTTGAACAAAGCAGGTTGCTATTTTTAATTTCTATTTTGGTACAACCAGTAGTCTAAATTGGTACACACTTAATAGAAAAATGGTATTAAAAAATCTATGTTCTTGTTGTTGCCGTTTACTTCAGACCTTGAACGATGTCTATTGCTGTTTTCCTGTTATTACCATCCATTTCTTTTTTAGGCACAGAAATATCCTGGATATGCATTTCTATAATGTTCTCATTGTTTACTGCACATGAAAATAATTCGAACAATGATGTGAGCAAAACTAATACAAAAGTTGCTCAACAGAGCTTTGTTTCTTTCTTGTATGCTTTGACACGATGGTGAAGTGCAGCTTTGAAACTTACGGTTGGCATTCACTTTTTTCAGTTCCTCTCGCCATCTATGCCTTCACACTGCCATTGCCATACATTGGAGCAGCTTCATCGCTACCCACAGGCTTCATTGCTGGAGCAGCAGTTCTTGTGTCTGGTCTCCTCCTCTATTGTTGGGCTCCATCTCGAAGCCCCTCTCACACTAAATTAACCTGACTCTCCAAATGTTAGAGATGTAGATCTCTCCCTTTTCCTCATCTTGTATGTTTTTAGTTTGTGTTTCCTACTTCCATGGCTTTCTGGATCTTTGACCTGAGAACCAGAAGGAATTTTGTTGTCCTCTTTGTTCACCGATAGCAAGAAAAAAAATGATCATCCATCACTATCTGTCAAATCAAAGTTTTTATTAGTTAAATTGGTCAGCACATTTAAAAATATAATAGATGCTCCAATTATATTTATTTTATGAAATTATATCGAGAAGTTATTCTGTAAGGAAAATTTCATAAATAAATAAAAAATCCTTTGGGATATTAAATTTATCTGTTGTAAAGAAAATTTTTATTTCAAAGATCAAGCATTATGAAGATATTAATATTATAAATTGTAATTTCGTTCGACTAGAACATAATTGGAGGTTATTCTACTAGAACCAATAATAAAATTACGAGTTACAAAAAAATATAACATGGTGAATGATCGTAAGAGAATTCATGCTCCAAAGATTTGCAAGTATTTTTACTTGAATCGAAGGCATTCAAATCTCTATCTATAGTTATAACTACGTTTTCTTTTATTAATACCAATTGGTGTCATAATATTTAATTATGTCTCTATTTATACTTCTCTTTTGAATATATTCATATCATCTTATATATTTTTTTATTTTATTATTTATCAATACTATGATTAATTTTTTCATGAACGAAACTAATTGATTATTTCGTTTCTATCATTTTGTTCTTTATTACCTTTGTTTAATTCTTACACAAATTGGTATATAGAAATCGTGGCAAAGTAAATAAAAAGTCAAAATTTGGTGCCAAAGACTCTCAAATTATACCTTTTAAAGGATTAAAAAAGTATTAAATATACGAGGAGGAGTCTTATGAATTTGAAAAGGGCGCCCAACGCCATCTGCCAATGAAGGAAATGGAGCCGTCTGCCGCGTTTGGGGGGAAACCTTTTTAATTTTGAGGAGTGTAGGAAGGTCCCCTCTTCAAACCCTAAAAGATGATTTTTTTGGGGGTCTCGTATGGATCGATTCCCGTGTAAGGTGTAAATTTCTGCTGGATCAGAAGGTCTCCGCTTCTCCGCAGATCATCCGAAGCTCTCACTCTACCGCACTGTGTAATTCCCTGCTTGCTCTGATGGTTTGAAGATCACTTTTTGAACTTTTCTAGCTGTTGATGGTTTGATCACCAGTAATGCCGCCTTCGGTGCGCCATTTTAGGTGGATTTACGCACTTGTTTGATGCTGGATCTCGGGATCGCGCTTTTTTTGGTATATGATCGAGGAAACCTTTTGTGTCTGTGCCAAAAGATCAAATCTTTTGGCTGTTTAGGTGCGATTGTTTGGATATATATATTTTTTCCCAAATAGAATATCTTTCGCTTCACTTCTATTTTTGGTGGACTTTTGCTATTCGTCCTGCGAAGTGGTTCGATACCAAGCCCATGTTGTTGATTTTTCAGCTTCATTTCGCTTAACATGAGCTTTCTATGCTTCACCTTGATTTGTTGTTTTGATTATTCCATCTAGGTGCTGATTTTTCATCTACTTGGTGTCTTTAGTCTTTCTTATACGCACGTTTATGATTTCTATAGTTCTATGCCTAAAAGAAGAATGATTAGGGACATCGTAAATCTAAGAGTTTGAGATGGTAATTTGTTGATGTTTAGTTCTAAGTTGCAATGTTTTTTTAGTTCTTGTTCTTTGGTTATTGTTAATGGTTTTCTACATCATTTTGTCTTTCATTCACTGATTGGTTCCTTTTACATGAGCTCTTTTTTGAGCTCGTGACATTCTCCTCCAGGTTAAGTTGATTTATCAATGTTATCCCAGAAGTAGTTAATATAGCTGGGTTGGTCATTTCCTTTCAGAGTACCATTCCACTAGTTTAATGTCTGTATTAATTACTTCATTACCTCATCGTTTTTCTTGGTGTAGCAATTGGACTTTCTGTATTTCTATTTGCCCCCTCTTGATTTGCCAGTTGCAGAACCTGTAATTAGATGCCCTTGCGTATGATCCGCTACTTTACTATTGTCTAGGTAGGTTGATGCAGTGGAGTCTCTCCTTTTCTTATTCTAATTATTTTCCACTCATTTTGAGGGAACTCAAATGGATATAACCAGAGAAAGTTGGTATCATCTTATACTGTGTATCTGCATTTATTGAAAAGAAATGTCATGTTTTAACATGGATTTATCTTTTTATCCTTAAAAATGGAAAAAAGTAGGTGGGTGGCTGGCAATTTCCAGCTTCACACAGTACAAACAGATGTTGAGGGGAAAAATAACCTTGTCCATCTTCTACAAATTCTCTTCTCCTTTATACCTATACCAAATGTTTGCTTGGTACAAATTTGTATAGCGGGCCAAGTTGACTCTTGTGGGTGCTTAACTTGGCCCTATCCTTACACATATCCTTTCAATTTTTTCATTTGAATGGTTTTTCTATTTAAATATTAATTTATCCTTATTGTCTTATGCACTTCCTGTTAATTTACTTTGTCTTTGAAGTCACTGTTAATTTGTGTGGCATCAAATTATTACTTGTAGACCACTAAGATATAAAATAATTTTAGCCGTTCAAGGATTATTTGGGATGCTAAATAAGTGACTAAAACAAATTCATTTTGACAGGTGTTTTCCTTGTCATCTCGATTTCTATAATCTAACACAACAATTTCTGAGCACAATATAATGCATAATGTACTCAAACTGGAAATTCCATATTGATACTGTTAAAATTTGTAACCATCATTTGAGCATTTATGTTTGTACTTATCAATTTCTTTTTGTCCTTGATTCAGTTTCTAATACATTGAAGTTTGTAGCAAGTTCGGGGTCCTTATTGGTTAATGAAATTGTTTATAATGGATTAACAGCAACCAGTGGATAATTATTACCACAATCTTCATTTCAGCCAATTTGTCCATCTTATGTAGATTATTAGAATATTATGGCTAAAACAGTTTATTTTGATCTTTTGTTGTTTTCTTTTACAAGCATTCTGGAACTGTTTTTGAGATGCCAAATGATTTGCTGGTGTGTACATGTTCCACATATTGAGAGAGCCGAATGTCACAAGTTACAGAATTAGTAATAGTTTTGCATGGTTGTTGGGTACCTCTTTTTCTGTGTAATGAAACCGTAAAGATGGTTTCTTATGGTTTTGCATGTTAATGTCATTCCTTCTGAAATGCATAGCTAACATTCTGGAGTGGTGGTTCAAAGTGCTGGAAGCAAAAGTAATGCTGCAAAATTAAACTTTTAGTTGGGATATACATTGAAGTTGATCCTTCAAATGTTCATTTGTTGCATTTTAGGATATTTTTACATCAATAGCTTTTATTCTCTCTGCTCGTGGCACTTATTTGATCTTGATGTTCAAATCAGTGGATCATAAATTTCATGAATTGTATCTTCAGTCTGATTTGAGTTTCGATTGTTTTGCAGGAATTATCTCCATTTGATTAACAGAAACTAATTGCTGCCCGTTAATTGCGATCATTTGTTTATGTAACCACATTACGCTCACTAGAATATTTCTCATACAGTGATTTTGCATGGCTTAGCTTGTGTTATGGTTTAAAAATGATGATTCTGGTAGATTTGTTATGCAGCTGAATACAACTTAGGGACCAAGTGCAGTGCATTCTGACTATATCACTTGGTCTTCAGTGCTTCAATTGAAGCTTTGATTGTGAAAAAAATGTTGAAGACTTCTGTTGGTCCAAGTGAACTTCACTTAAAGAGGGAGCTTACTGCTCTACAAAGGGCACGCTTCTTACGCGACCCCGAAACTTGTTCATCTTGGAGGTCCCCTTTGAGTTCCAAGTCATTTGTTGCAAATTCTAAGGTAAAAAATGGAAATGGAATGATGGAGAACTTCATTGGAGAAATTAACTATAGCTCACCACTCAATGTATCTTTAAGAGGCAGAAACGGAAGGCAAAATAGGTATCTCTACAATTTGAGGCATCATACTACTGAAAGAGTGCAAAAACTAGATGAGGAAGACAGAGATGACTTAGTCAAGGGAAGTCCAAAAGACAACACTACCTTAAGCAATTCTCTTATTGAAGATTCTAAGAGTGATACTTGTCTTGGAATTCCTGTAAATTTTCATAATGTTACAAGTACATATTCAGGAAACCCAGTTAGAAGAAATATCCGAGAATTCAGAAGAACAATTTCAGTTAGGGGGATGACTAAGCATCCAACTGTATCAAAGCTAATGGGCACAGCATCATGCTCTTTAGGAATCATTGACTCAGGTGAGCAATCTGATGATGGTGAAGATTACAACTCTGAGGATTTGCAGCAACTGGTGCATGAGCTGACCCAACAAGATGGTTATATTTCTCACTCGTCTTCACCCTTATTGTATGGATCTGGATTTGGTAGCCGGTTATCTTCCTCCAAATTCCATAGAACTAGTAGAAAATTGCTATCATCTCAATCTTGCACTCCTGCTTCTACTAGCTCTTACTATAAATATGGTGGCCGAGACACCAGTACTGTTGGTTCTTGTAATGGAACTGTTGCTTCCTTTGATGTTGATGAACTGGATCAACCAGAGTTATCAAAGGTTCAAAGATGTGGCATTCCTTGCTACTGGCCAAAGAGAACTAAAGATATGGGAGTTGGAGGTCTTAGTTCTCCTTCCCTGTCAGATACTCTAAAAAAGAGAGGCAGTGGCATTCTCTGTGGGAGCCAGCATTCCCTAAAAAAGAAATTATCTGGTTGCCACAAGCAAAGTTACCTGGCAAAATCTTCTCAAGGTTTACCTTTACTGACAAATAGCTGTGACATAGGCCAATTGTCACTGGATACGACTAGTGATGAGTTGTCAAGTAAACTTGGGGAGCTTGATTTGGAGGCAAGAAGCCGTTTGGATGGAAGGAGATGGTCTAGCTGTAAAAGCCAGGAGGGACTGCAAATAGATATGCCTGGAGGAGCTGCATTTGATATAGTAGATCAAAGATCCTTAAGCCAAAAATATCAGCCTAGGTTTTTTCAGGAAATAATTGGGCAGAATATTGTCATCCAGTCACTTGGTAATGCCATCTCAAGGGGAAGAATAGCCCCTGCTTACCTGTTTCATGGCCCTCGCGGGACAGGAAAAACTTCAGCTGCAAAAATATTTGCTGCTGCTTTAAACTGTTTATCTATTGAAGAGAACAAGCCATGTTGGTTTTGTAGGGAA